CCCTACATCCATCCACAGCCTTCCCCGACTTCTCCCTCTCTTTAAAAAATTGGTGGTGGGGTTGGTATGTGTGTGTAAACACAGTGAAAAATGGTCATCTTTGCTCAGGTTTTTATACATAGGACAGTCTTGTAGACAAGTTCACAGAAATTTTTCAGAATGCAGAAAAACCAGCAATCTTCCACACTGACCATTGTCATGGCAACACACTATCTGACGGCAGCATGCGTCAACAGGCTGGCGGGGGCACAAGCTCAGGATAGTAAGTTATCCTGACCATTTTTAGCAACATTTGGACTTCTTTCTAGCCTCTTGTCTTCTAGGCTTAGCTGAATTTCTTTCAAGTTCTGGACTCAGGCTCTGCTCATTTGCATGGCCAGAACACAATACTTGTGTTCTACAAGAGCTGGAAATGAAAAGTCAGAATATTCCTAATGTTCTACTGGCACTATATGTGCTGTCTACTCTCCCAAGGCCCCTCCTCATCCACTCTTTGCCACTTAGATTTTCCTCTTCTTAACGTCAATGCTTTCCTATATACCATAACATAATCCCAACCCCACCCTGCCCCGATCTAACTACTGGGACTCATTGACCTGTTCTCTTCCTGTCCTATTCCTTCAGTCATTCTGTGGCATGTAGAGAACAAGAACACTAGTGAGGTAAGCACACCGTAAGATAATCAACCATCTAAAATCAAAAGGGCATCTTATAGCTAAGGACAATAGTTCAGAAAGGTTAGTAAAGAAGGTGAAATGTAAACAGGAACACAAGGAAGAAGTGGGATAAGTGATGTTTCAATGAATGAGATGGAACAACATGTGTATACAGTTGTTGAATGTAAGACTAATGATCTACTCTCTAGACCTTGACCCAATCCAAGATAAAATGTTCACAAAGCAGGGTGGTACTCCAAGACTAGTGGAAGTGGATTACTGAGAGAACTGATCACACGGACATGTTCAAACCATGGCTTCTTTGGAATAAACGCATGTGTACGAACTGGAGCCATAGTAGTAATACTTTTTGATTGATTTTAATATGTTTACTGCTTTTGAGAATTTAAATTCTGACCCAGGCATAGTTTTTCCATGGTTTAATTTCATTATGTCATAATCAGGATAATACTTTAACCTGTTAGGATCTTTAAAAAACAAACCAAACAAAACCCTTGATTGAGATGTCTTCTAATATCTTCCAATATTCTTACCAATTCTAACCCAAGACTTTTATTTCAGGTCTTTAAAAATTTTATTCTTCTTTAGAGTTTCTTACAGTTGTCTTCCCTTTAAATTACTTTTCATGTCTTCTCTCACTTGTCATTTCCATTTCCTTAATAGCAAGATAGCACTACTCTCTGGAAGGTATGTGTCTGCGTGTGTGTGCAGGAAAGCACGAGGACACAGATATATCTGCACATACATGGGGTTTGAGCAAGCAGCTGCAGAGGCTTGTTTAGTTTCTCAGTTTGGGTAGCTTTTACTGTGTTTTACCAGGATTCTGAGCCTGGCTAGGGAAAGCCGCAAAGTTGGAGCAAGAGAGGGGAGAGCAGTCCTATTGGTCCCAAAGGAAAGAGGAAATGCTTCCTGAGGCTGAGAGGACACTAGGGTGGGATATCTATGGTTATGAATCAGGGCTGTGGTGCGGAAAGGAGGAATGAATGGAGAAGGGCTACGAAGAGAAAGGCCCTGAAACCTTAAAGGTTGGACAAGGGAGAAATATTTGGTTAGTAAGTGAGAACTTATAAAGTTGGTAGCCACTTAAAGGCCAGAGGGAGGTGGCTTGAAACTACAGGGCCGAAGGCTATAGGACACCTTTGGAGGGGACCAAAGCTTTGATGGATGCATATAACCTTAAGAATTTAAGGTTTGATTACATGGAACTGTGTGTGACCTCCTCCCTGGGGGACAGACAACCGAAAAGTGGATGAAGGGAGACGTCGGACAGGGCAAGATATGACAAAATACCCATTTATGAACTATCAAGAGCTCATGCGGAAGGGGGGAACGGGGAGGGAGGGGTAAAATGAGGACCTAATGTCGGGGGTTTAAATGGAGAGAAAATGTTTTGAGAAACGATGTACAAATGCGCTTTACACAATTGATGTGTGTATGGATTGGGATAACAGTTGTATGAGCCCCTAATAAAATGTTAAAAAAAAAAAAAAGAATTTAAGGTTTAGTCAGGGTGCAGTATAGCAACGATGAAACATACAACTTTCCTCTAGTTCCTTAATGCTTCCCCCTCAACTATCATGATCCCAATTCTACCTTACAAATCTGGCTAGACCAGAGGATGTACACTGGTACAGATAGGAACTGGAAACACAGGGAATCCAGGGCAGATGATCCCTACAGGACCAGTGGTGTGAGTGGTGATACCGGGAGGGTGGAGGGAAGGTGGGGTAGAAAGGGGGAACCGATCATAAGGATCTACATACAGTATAACCCCCTCCCTGGGGGACGGACAGCAGAAAAGTGGGTGAAGGGAAACATCGGACAGTGTAGTGTAAGACATAACAAAATAATAATAATTTATAAATTATCAAGGGTTTGTGAGGGAGGGAAGGCGGGGAGGGAGGGGAAAATGAGGAGCTGATACTAAAGGCTCAAGCAGAAAGCAAATGTTTTGAGAATGATGATGGCAACAAATGTACAAATTTGGTTGACATACAATGGATGTATGTATGGATTGTGATAAAAGTTGTACGAGTCCCCAATAAAATGATTTAAAAAAAGAATTTAAGGCTTATCATCTTAGAAATTTTTCTCTGGCTAATGGAGCCTGAGATGCGAAGTACCTGCCTATGGATTTTGCTGTTGTCATAGCTGTTGGTTCTGTTTGCTTTGTTGTTAGCTCTGTTAATGGAGGTGGGCCTTGAGATAGATAATTCTCAGCAAGATCCCACATAATACAATGTATTCTCACAGAATAATTCCAGGGAAGAACAAACCATCCTTTCATGTTGGATTCTCCTCTAATGAGGGCATCAAAGATAAGAGGACTAGTATTATCATGGACATTGTATAAATAAAAGGGAGTTTCACTCTCCCGGATGGACAATGATACTCAGGGCCACATAAACTCTGCAAATAATTATGCACACACACATAAAATTTAATTAAAGAGGAAATGAGTGCTAGAAATGCTTTAAAAGAATGATGGATGAAGCACAATTTAGCAGCAGCTAAGTTGGGAGGTGGGAATCTATTGGAAGGCTGAGGATAATTTTCCCAAATACTAGCTTGTGGACTAGCTAAAAGCATTTGTCAAAACAAGGCTCCAGGAATTAATGGAATACCAATAAAAAACGTTTCAACAAGCTGAGGAAGCACTAGAAGCACTCACTCATCTGTGCTAGGAAATTTGGGAGACAGGTACTTGGCCAACTGGCTGGAAGAAATCTATGTTTGCACCTATTCCAAAAAAAGTTGACACGATAGAATGCTCAAATTACAGAACCATATAACTGATATCACATGCAAGTAAATTTTTTGCTTTGGATCACCCAACAACGGTTGCAGTAGTACATTGACAGGGACCTGCCAGAGGTTCAGATTGGATTAAAAAGATTTGGATGAAAGGGATATCATTGGTGATGTCAGATGGATCTTGGCTGAAAGCAGAGAATACCAGAAAGATGTTTGCTGTGTTTTATGGACTATGCCAAGGCATTTATTTGTCTGTATGGATCATAACATACTATAGATAACTTTGAGAAAAATGGGAATTCTAGAACACGTCATTGTGCTCTTGTGGAACTTGCACATGGATCAAAAGGCAATTGTGTGTGAACAGAACAAAGGAATATTGTATGGTTTAAAATCAGGAAAGGTATACAACAGGGTTGTATCCTCTCACCATATTCATTATTCATTCTGTATGTTAAGCAAATCATTAGAGAATTTTATGAAGCAATTCATATAATTATAAGAGAATTATATGAGCAAATCATCGGCTGGATTATATGAGGAAGAATGTGGCATCAGGATTGGACATTGAATAAGGAAGACTGAAGAAGAATCAATGCTTTTGAATCATGGTGGTGGCGAAGAATATTGAAACACCATGGACTGCCAAAAGGACAAACAAGTCTGTTTTGAAAGAAGTATGGTCACAGTGCCCCTTAGTGCAAGGATGGTGAGACTTCATCTTACATATTTTGGACGTGTTGTCAGGAGAGAGCAGTCCCTGGCAAAGGACATCATGCTTAATAAAGGAGAGGCAGCAAACAAGAGGAAGGCCCTCAATGAGATGGATTGACACCGTGGCTACAACAATGTGGATAGGAACAATTCTGAGGCTGTTGCAGGACCAGGTAGTGTTTTGTTCTGCTGTGCATAAAGTTGCTATAGGTCAGAACTGCCTCTCTGGCATGTAAGAACAACAACAACAACAACAACAAAAATCTAGTGAATAGTGTGATCAGGAGACAGTGGGCTGATGATTACCATTTTCCCTCTATCCAGAGGCCAGAACCATTTGAGGCCAGCCTTAGGGAGGAGACCCATTTCTAGTACTTTAGATAGACTGGGGAATCCATTCCTATGAATACCAGAAACCCTGACTCATTGTAGTCTTTTAAGGTTCTTTTCTATCAAGAAACTACAGTGGAAAAGAAGGTCTGGGAGTGTTTACCACCTACCCCAAGCCTGACTGATTTGAACTTTTCTCATCTTAAGGAAGGGTTTATTGGTGGTTTTTTTTGGGGGGTGGGGGATGGGGGGCGGAGGTTTCAGGGCACACTTTAGAACTAATTTTCCCCTTACCCTGTCTATAGCTGAGCCTTTTGTCCTTCTGAAGGTGACATTAACTGGCCAACTAACAATAATAACCGGAGTGGCCTGTGAGACAAACCAACTACAGGTACGAAGAGTCCCTTCAAAGTCAGTAAGACAATTATCTACCAAAAGTCAAAGGGTTTTTGGGGCAGTCCCCAATAATGGGTCACTACAAGCTAGGTGCATCAAGGAGGAGAGGACTCAAGGGTTGGTACTCACCTCTGATACAGTTGAGGATTTGCTGGATTCGATGGGGCTCATTGCGGTCTAGCCGACAGCTTGGGGTGATTTCCAGCACATAATCAGGACCATATTCTGTGAAAAACTGTAAGAAAAAGAGAAAGGCCAAAAAACTAACTAAATCAGATAAAATCTCTAAAACAAGTTACATACAAATAGAACAATCTAAAGAATTCACCATTACTGACAAAGCAAGGAAGACCTAGCTGGGCAGGGCAAGATGATGCAGCAGGAAGTCCTGTCCCGGTAGCACTACTTCCCTTGTTCAAAACCTTTCAACCCAGCCCATTGCTAAATTCTTTGGTTTGTTGTTCAGGGTTATTCTGGCTTGAGTCTCGGTCTTAGCTCTTAATGTTCTCCTGTTCTCTAGCTACCCTATCTTCTTTTGTGTCTCCCAAAATTCTCTCATGCTTTGTTTTTCCTAGGATCTTTTGCTCTTTTCTGGGGCCTGAAAAATCCCTCCTCTAATTCCTGCTACATGTGCAAAACCTCCTTATCCTTCCTGGCACAGATCAAATGTCAGTTCCTTTGTAAAACTGTCCCTCATTCTCCACCAACCCCAGAGCATTCTGCTGGTACCTCATTGATGGTCCTTATTCATCAAATAGCTCTTGCCTAAATATCATATGCAGGCCACTGTGTTGGCTGCTGTACGGGCTAGAAAGATGGACAAGACTAACTCTGCGGTGAGTAGTCACAGCACTGTGTGCATTGGACAGTTTTCAACATTGATCCCGCTGGATTATCAAAATCCTTGGAGGCATGCAGCACCTGTGCTTTATTCATCTTCTTAGTCCCCACAGACCATGGCAGCTGCCTAACAATTTTTGTGAACTTGAATTCCCTGTCTCAGGAATGTCAAACGAGGCTAGTTTCTGTACTTCTGTTCTTCCTTCTCATTGGTAGAGCTTGTTTTTAAACCCAGGGGCTCACAATAAAGGTTCTGGATCTCATTTCTAGCTCACTCGATGACTTGTGAAAAAGTCATAATATCTGATTCAGCTTCTCTACAAGGGTAAGAACACTCTACAACAAAGAACCTCATTTAACTGGGTAAGTCTTTGAACGGTAAATATGCAGAGCTACTATTTTGTTTACTTTTTAATATAAATAAAATCTGTGTACACTCTTTTGAGAAAGCATGTGGTCCTCAACACTGTATGTTGTCAACAGTGACACTGCTGGGTGGTAAGTTAAACAGAGAAAATTTTAAAATCATGGAAAAAAGAGCATCGAAAGTATAAAAAAGAGACCTTAATATGAGTCAAAAATTTGAGGGCATTTGATATCTAGATTACTAAAAATAATCCAGGTTAACGTGCCACCATCACCTAACTTTTTCATCTTAAGAATCTAGATATGCAGCTGACATTGTGGGAGATATAGAACATTCTCAGGGATTCTAGCAACATCTTTATGGAATCCCTAGATGTAACTTGATGGGAAGGCAGCTTTTGTACATCCATGGCAGAAACTCCCTCAAAAAAAAAAACCAAACTCTGGATGGTGCTTGGCTATCATTACTGAACATTTAAAATAATATTGATCAAAAGGGGGAAAATGCAGAATAGATTTAGTATCTTCATGGATTCCAGACTTTCTGGAGTCAGGGCTTTTGGGAACTTCTGAAACTATTGCCCCGAGACAATTTTTAAACCTTAAACAAACCAAAAAATCCCCCAATGTCTTCTTAAAATTACACAGTAGCTTAACTAGTCAAGAATATCTGTCTTGAGCAGTATGCTCTTTTAAGAAAGATCTATAGAAGATCAAATTGATAAAAGGAACTCTAAAGATTAGATAGAAACCATAGGGGCAGTGAGTGGATGATAACAGAGAAAGAAGCAACTCAGAAAACAAGGGTGAGAGTGGTTGCATAACTCAAAGAATGCTATCAATTTCACTGACGTGTTCATGTCCTCCCTGTCGGTTTCTGAGACTGTAACTGTTTATGGGAGTAAAAAGCTTAGTCTTTCTCCCCGGAGCGCTGCTGGTAGTTTTGAACTGCCAACTATGTGGATCGCAGGCCAATGCGTAACCATTACATCAAAGGAGCCCCTTAAGAGGTTGTGGAATAGTAAATTAATTTCATGGGTACAAAAAGAAAGGTTTAGAGAAAGCATCAGAAGAGTGGCAGTTTGTCTAGCTGAAAGGTATAGGAAGAGGGAATGTAATGTGTCCACAAGTGGAGATGGCACTGTCAGCAGGACATGCAATAGGCTATTTGCTCATGGCTGAGTGTTTGGAACAAGTTCTCACCTGTAAGTGCCTATGTGGTTACCCACATTCTTCTACTTTCGTTCCCTCTTTGACCAAGAACACATGTTTGCAAGATGGCCACTGTGGCTCAGACTGTCTTGAGACTGAACTCTCAGCTGTACCAGGATTGAGCTTCTTAAATGCTTCCTCCACCCCACTACCATGATCCCAATTCTACCTTGCATATC